GACGCGGTCGATTCCCGTGTGGTCAGTCTATCTTACCCTAAACAAGCGATACTCAAAATGCACCCGAAGGGTCCGCAAGCCAATAGAAATCAACGACAGATATTCTGCAGCCCTCCGCCCGTTACTGCGGAGAAAATGGCTAGTGGAAGGGCTCCATTTCCGGTCGTCGCAGGGTACATACAGGAGTACACGTGCCAACAAACCCAAAAGGGTACCACACACACTTGAGAAACATGTTTTGTGGGGCTGGAAGAAAGAAGTAGTCTTTGTACGAAAAATGGAAAATACACTCAAGGGTGTAGCCCTCTACATACACTGAAGAGTGTTTGGCTGGAGCGGAAAGTTACCCTTGCCAATGGCAGGGTACACTAGGGTAGAATTACAGGGAAAAAGTAGCCGCGGCATGGTGTACACTGCGGGCCTTTTTGTGACACAGCAAAGGGCGAAGGAGGGCGTCCACCCAATGAAATATGATAGGCTCACTTTCACGCTGAATTTATGTACCCCAGGGTGAGTCGTTTCTTGGCCAGGAAATACCCGGTTCTGTTGTCGTACGCTATCCCAGCGTTGTTTCTGTCCGATGTTGAATGCCGCCTGATTTCACTCACAGCAGTAGTATGCGTGCACGTACACGCCAAAAATACGAGCCTGTCCGAGGACAACCGAAGCAATGTCCGGTTGCAATCTAAGTTCAGCAGTAGTTCGGCTAGGGGATCTCCGTTTCGCAAGCGACTGCACATCTTTCTGGCGCAGCGGTCACGCTCGCAACCTGGTTCCTGCACATGGTATTCTAATCATACACGCCATCTACAAGCTCATCCCAACCATAGGTAGATTGCGTGGTCGAAGACTTTGGCACCCATGGCATAAAGGTTCGACCCTGATCATACATGTGCGACAATACGCGGGGGCAGGCTGTGGCGTAATTCTTACAACGAGGTATGTATTAATAATGGCGGTGCGAGATATGCCGAAATATATTTCCACCGGCGACCTTCGTTTTACACTGCCGTTGAAGAGTCTATGCATCAGTTCGACAGGGGGACGGGAGGTGAACAACAAGCCGAGCATATTCGCAACACACTACAGCAGACTACAAGGTTTACCTCCCGGGGGCGACGCAAGCGGACACGGCCAACCAATGCCATCGCCGTCGCATGGATGATTGGTCTTCATGACGTTCGGTAGTGGCCGCTTGCGTGCAACGTGCAGACTCAAAATTGCCTGGGATTTGCATCATGTACGGGGGATTGTGTTTTCTCCCGCCGTGACTTTTTTGCCTGTGTGTGTGGTTAGCTAATAGTGGCGTCTTTGCCGCAGGTCCTACCATTATACCTGTTATCCGCTGCGTTTGACCACTTTCTCTTCTTGAGCATGGTCTGTGGGACGTTATAACGCAAACACCAACAATGGATGAAAAGAAGCTCAACGTGCCCAAGAACAGTTCACAGCGGTAGACGCTACAGCAGAACCACAGCTTCATTTTCGTTTGTTCGGAATTTACATAACCGCTGCCAGAGTTGTGCGAGAGGACTTCTGTGTCGCGCGGTGTGTTCCCATGAGCAACATCAAGAGTCTTGGTGCCCGCTGTGGGTACGCATGCGCCAGCTGCCGTGTGGACGGACGCGCGGGCGCGTGGCGCGTGGGGCGGGGCAATTTTTTTTTTTCTCTTTCAGCAGGCTTTTATGATTCTTATTCACAACCTGAAAAAAGAGTCAGTCCCGGCGACTTTTGGCGACCTTCACGCGCACCACCGGTGTCTCGCGTGCCCCACACGTAACGGGTAATATACCGACGAGTCATCTGCGTGCCGTGCAGAACGGAGTGGGAGAAAAAACGCTGTCCCAGCGGAGAAAAATGAATACGAAGACAACAAAAGTCGAAATCCTACATAAGCATTTTGTACTAGAACTAGTGGTTATGCCCAACAACACAGCTTCAAGGCTGCGTCCGCCGATTGTTGTAGCAGGCATCAGGCAAGAGGGAAAGCGGGAAACAACAAGACTTGGGTCCTGGCGCTCCCACAAACAACGCGTCGCTGCGGGTCGGCGCTGCTTGAGCTTGCAATCGTGCCCGCGGGCGTTTTGCGATGGTGCTTCGAAGTGTTTTAGAGCGCGATGGAAGTAGAGCCGTGAGTTGACACAACGTGAAGGAAGGGTTGGGGTGCAATACAAGACAGAAGAAAAGCTGTGTATCGTATGCTAGAATATATATCATGCACGGAACAAAGCGAGGGGTGGTGTTGTTGTTGTTGTTGTTATTGTTGTGGCGCACGTGTTGTCCTTGATGCACTGCCGGCGTCATGAAAGAGTGCGCTACAGCCAGCCTTGCCCCGCAGTGGGCGCGGACAACAAAAAGGTCTGCTGGTTCTTCTCCCTGTTGGGGCGTGAAGTGCGAACAGCAGTACCAACGGCTATGTAGTTAAACTTCGGACTGCTCAGATTGTTGAACGAGCACACAAGCGGTAGCCACCGGAAGTCCGGAATAACAAAATATTTCCTCCCAACTTTTTCGACTACGACCAACCAGCTCTGATGCGGCGGTTTCAAGACCACGCTCATAAACACTCGCCACAGAAGCGGCAGAGCCGCCCCTGCCCCCCCCTGCACATCAACGTTGGCGAGTTTTAAAACTACGGGTAGGTTGGAGTCAGTTTTAGAAGGGCCGAACCACACGTGGACTATTTCCGAACACAAAACACCCCCAAACCACAAAGAAAAATCATGAAGGCCCCAAATTGTTTGGTGACAAATCGGTGAGGACCGCAACATCGAACCAGGGGGAAATCTTGGTTGGCAATGGCCACCGGTATGCAGCAGTGCGTTCCGCAGCAGAGAGAAAGCGCTCGCGAAAAAAAAAACATCACGTGTGTTCACGAATGATGGCAAGACAGGAAGCAGCAAAGCGTCGGACACAAAGGATTGAAAAACTGCACAGCACTACATCGGAGATCGGGACACACACACAAACTCGGGCAAGCAGGGGGAGCTTTTTTGTTGCTTGAAAAATGTACTGCGAGGCTGAACACCGCGCCGAAATCGTACCTGCGGGCAAACCGCGCTGGATTGCTGCCGCCGGCGTCGGACTGCTGCTGCTGCTGCTGCTGCTGGATGCCCCTGCATTCCTGCTCATGTTTCGAACAGTTGATTGCTACGGGTGGGGGTCTGGCTAGGCACGGCTGCAATGGACACTTTTTTCGGTCAACAAGTTATGGAGTGTGAGTGTGTGTGGGGGACAAAAGCGGGGCAACTTGGGGGTTCCGCAGAATGCATACTTCGGTGATGATGAGGACACCGCCCTCCCTTGCCTACCCCGGCCGGCGATTTGCAGCGATTGTTGCTGCTCTCTCTCTGTCACATGGCTCCTTCTGGTTGAATGTTAGTAGGCACAGATGCAACGAGAGTAGCAGTAGCAGAGTGCAGGCGCAAAGCGCGTGGACCGGAAACACAAACGACCCTTGATACCTCGCTCTCTTACTATTGCCGTGCTTGTTTTTTATCATCCGACCCCGATCATTATCATGAGGACGGCACGAGCAGCAGCAGCAGCAGCAGCAGCAGCAGCGGCTGCAGCCGGCGGAACCGGCGAGCGCCACCACGCCCCCCCGACAACCAGCTTCGAACAAGACAATGGCGATCTAGCCCGTTGTCGTGCTGCTACTGCAGCAGCAGCAGCTGGAGGGTGCTTCGGTCCGTTCGCGCCCGACGTGGAGGTTGCGCCGCGTCCCGGCGTGGGCGGTGGCATCAGGAAGCCGTACACGGGGATGACCATACGCCTCACGCCCGAGGTCCTCGGGCGCCTGATGATGAACGGGCCGGGCGCGAAGCCGGAGATAGAGCTGGTGCTCAAGAGTGCCAGTGAAGGTCAGTCGAAATTTTCGGGTTTCTCTGCCAGTGTACAAAATGGGTGGGTGAAGGACGAACGCTGGTGGCGTGCCACAACGAATGCGGGCTGCGGGCAAGTGTGCATGAGAACACCGTCCCGCGCCTTGCTGTTGCAACGCTATGGTTTTCACTTTGCCCGGTGTTTCTAAAGTTCTCCCAGACTCTTGCTGGTTGATATTAGGGATCCGTTGTGTTTTTGTTAGAAAAAGGGGGAGGCGGTAAGTGCGGTGCTGTCCTGTAGTTGAACTCTACGATCGTGTTTATTCAACAGAGACGACCCAACAACCAAGTGTTGGCATCACATGAAGCAGCCCAGGACGCGGCCGCGCCTCTAGCTAACCTACATTTTACATTTTCCACCTCTCCCCACTCCCCCCCTTATTTTGAGAGCGGTTTTCGTGGTACAGTGATCGCGTAACTCCTTGTGTACGGAATTTCAACGTTCGATGGAACTTTTCAGCAGCCTGGCGATAGGGTGCATGCGAAACCATTACCGACCGATGTGCAAGGACAGCAGCTCTGCATGTAGGCGACGTGTCCTTCTTGACATCCCCCTTTTCGGCTTCAAAGCGGCCAGCCTCTTGGATTGGGCGGAGCAAATCGAGCTGTGAGAGTAGACTAGGTTCTACCACAGCAGGAAGGGGTGTGCAGTCGCTCGACTCTAGCACGGCGTTTTTTACGGGATGAATAGCTGCACGTGGTTATCTTGATCTCGTTCTCGTTCTCATTCCCGTTTTGTTCTTGTTCTTGTTCTTGTTGTTCCTGTTGTTGCTGGTGGCGGTGGTGGTGGCCGTGGTGATGCTGTCTACACGTTGTAACCCAGGCCCTGACACTCGCGAAGGATCCATGGTTCCCAACCAGACGGAAAACAAGTGTGAAGCATCACAGCGAAGAATGACAAGGAAAGGAAGTAGAAACATGCGTCCGAACCCCCGTCTTACCGCGCCGTCCCCGGCGGCACTGCTGTGTCGGGATGCGAGGTCTACTGACTACGGCATGCGTTTACACGCGAGTACACCCTCGCGCTTGAATTCCTCATGCCCTCCCCCCGCCACCTTGTTAGGAGGTCCTGTTCTCCTTGTGGGGGGGGTGTCACACAAGCTGGACGCGCATCAAATGGCCATCGGGTCCGAAGTGCACGTCTTGGCTAGGACGCAGCAGCAGCAGCAGCAGCCCGGCAACGCCAGCCGTCACTGTGGCCGCAGGGGCGAGGGAGGGCGACAGGCGGGAGCGGGAGAGACGGTGGAGGCGGGTGACAAGTCCGGCAACCCCGGGATGACTGTTTTTGCCTCGCTGCACCGGAAACTGATCGTCCAGCAGGTGAACTAGGATAATGTACGGGTCGGCGAGGCTTGCTTGCCTGCTTGCCTGCTTGCCTGCTTGCTTGCTTGCTTGCTTGCTTGGTCGAGGCATTTTTGATGGCTGAATATTCGTCTCTTTCGAGTCAGAAAACCGCTTGTATGTCTAGCGGAAGAACCTCAAACAACAGTGGGGTATCGGTGGCCTCCATAAGGCTTGATTTGTGGTTGTTTTTAGTCGGTACTTCCTCCTATATCTGCTCTGAGCTCAGCAAGGGTCTAATAGCGAAAGGTCGATCTTCGCGGGAATGCAAGCGAGCAACTGCTGACAAGAAGCGCATGGGGTAAGCCACTACGTTGTTCTCTTGTGCCCATGTCACGACCATCGATCGGCTCTCCAAACGCGACTACAAGGTAGTGATGGTACGGTTATGCCGTGAGAGTTATCGCGACGAAGGCAAAGTCCATAAAACCCGAGTATCAGAAGTGCATATCGCTGTTCAACACCGCCTGTATGGTTGAAGTGGGGAGCTAGGGCAAGAGGCTTCTGGCCTGTCGTTACATCTAGTAGCGACAGGCCAGCAGCTTCGCGTCCAGACTGAGATTTTCTACCGAAGAGAGGGTGTTGAATGTTCACACCTGATACTTGGGGTTTCATGGACTTGTTGCCTTCGTGGCAATCAGTCTCACCGGAATTTCCGTGCCATCACATCGCCATCACGTTTGGAAATGAAATGGCCGGCCTGTCGCCACGTATGCATTACGTTTCATTCCTTCATTTTAAAGATTCCGCCGGCGTTCAGGAGAAACTGCTGAGATCGCTCCATTCCGGTGTTCCCTCGGCGTCTGACGGGCCTCCATTTTTGTATTCCCGCAATTTCCCGTTTTACCGCTCCGCCTTTCCCGTTTAATTGACCGCTTTTCCACCTCTGGCTCGCTCGAGGAACGTTTCCATCCTTTCCGCTGCTCATGACAGTAGTTGTATGTCATACGCCTCTCAGATTTCTCTTTTGTTTCAACGTCGGGATCTCCACATGTATGTACGTTAAACTGCATGTACACCATCAACTTTAAACCCTCATTTTGGCATATTTCCAAGCGGTCCGGCTTCTTTTCAGTTCCGATAAATCGACACACCTCTCAGTTTCTGAGTAAGCCTCTGCGCAATGTAAGACGTCCATTGACTCGTTGTGCGCGGGTTAACTACGGGTTCAAGGGGGAACCTTTCACCCCTCCCTTTCACTGGGGGCCCGCTGGAAAATTATCTTGGGGCGATGAGAGCGTTCCGTTCCAGGTTTCTCTCTGGCTCTCACAAGAGCTCCATTTTCTAATTTCCATCTGTTCCGAATCTGTGCAGCTTGCTGTCGTTTTCCGTTTATTCCGCTTCTTTCTCTTCTCATGCCTTCTCCTTGGGGCTGGCTCGTCATCACTTCCGGCTCGGTCGCACGGAATTTTTCTCCCTTTCACACACATCACATTAGTTTTTTCCAGTCTCTCTCTCCCCTTCGCACGCCAGTCTGTCTTCGGCTCTTCCACAACAGTCTCTGTCCCTCAGGCAGATGTCTAACAGCAGTAAATTCCCAGTCCCCCGCTTTTTGCGTCTATTGCTCGCCCGCTCGAGGAACCTTTTGGCGCTTTCCTCTGCTCCCCATCCACCTCACATCATGTTTAGTTGCGCCTCTCACAGGGCTTGAGGCCAGTCTTTCTCTCTCTTTCTTTCTCTCCCTGTCCCTTTCCCTCTCTCTCTCTCTCCCTTTTCGCTCACACACCAGTAGCCTGCTCTGACACGTCGGACTCCGGCATATATATTTCAAAATGCACAGAATTCGTCTCTCTAAGATCTCGCATCTACGTCGAACATGCACATCAAAATTTCATTTCTACGGGATATTTCCAGAGCTTCGATTCTCTCCGTCTCGGGCCTGTGTCTGGCTCGCTCACTCGAGGAACCTTTCGCTCCTTTCCTTGCTCCCTATCCACCACACATGACGCTTTTTGCCCGTCTCTCGCACTCGTCTCTCACACGTCAGTCGCCTGTCTCCCGGCCCTCACATGCCGTCACATTTCACACGTCTCGCTCGCCCAACATCATTTTGCGGGGCTATCTATATAACACATCGGGCTCTCGCTTTGTTTCCCGGGTGTTTGCACACAACAATTCCCCGGGTTTTGCACACAAAAATTGTTGGGACATTTTCGAGCCAGTGTTACTGCTGTCGTCGTTTTAAAAAATATATATTTTACTTGCCTCCCACCAGTGAATTTTGAGCTGACAGCAGTTACCACTGATTATCGCGTATCTTGGAGTCGATCTCTTCATCAACCTCTCTATCTCTCGGCTCTCACATTCTTCCTACAACCCAGCCAGTCAGTCTCTCTCTCTCGGATCTCACACGTGGAACATCTTCTCATCGTTCAGCCCTACCCAATATATCCGGGAGTTTTGTCATTGTTCCGACTCCGTCCAGCCGGGAGTTCCGTTATTTGTCGGGCTGCTCCCGTCTGTCTCACCCACTCGACCTTCCGCCCTATTTCGTGCCCGGGCCTCCTCCTGATCATCTCACCAAGACCGCCCCGCTGCTCGTGCAAGTCTCGGAGGAGCAGTGCATCATTGTTTTTCCCCCCTACGCCCGATTTTCTTTTAGAAAGTAAACATAACCTGACAGAAACACTACCCGTTCGAGATAAAACCTCAGTCGAAAGGGATGTGTTGGAAGTCTTTTCCGCAGTTGGATTTTATTTTTCAACCCGTGGGCGGTTGTTTGCCATCAATGATGATGCTGCTGGTGCATGAGACCACGCTTTGTTCGCATTTTTTTTTTTTTTCGTCGGGTGACACAAACCGAGTACGACCCTCTCTCTTTCCGCACGGAGCCCACTTTTAGTTTCATCTCCCAAGTCTTGGTTTCTATTTTTTCAACATGATTGCTGTGCCTCCCACGACTGCTGAGTACAGGCAGCAGAACGTTTGATGGGTATTCTTGGAATCGATTTATTTTTTGCGAGGCGGCGAAAGCGCCGCCAGACACCTTGTACACCTAGAATTTCGTTTGCTCGTGTGCTGAAAGCTGTATTGGGTAGGACGAAAACACTGTAAAAGAAAAGTAGCAACACCAACCATCAACAAACAACCAACACCAGCATGACCACAACGACAAGCAACAACACCAGAAACTCCACCACCAGTAACACCCCAAGACCTCGTGTGACTCCTCAAAACCGTTCGCGGCTGCTACTACTTGTACTACATCCAGGTCCTGACCGAGGCGAAGCGGGCGGAGATAAAGGCCAGGAACGACGAGATCGACCGCCGAGAGAAGCAAGCCAAGAAAAAGATGGCCAGGATGGAAGACCAGGAGGAGATGCTCGCCGCCGCCGAGGCCATCCCCGTCCCCGTAGGACAAGCGCCTCCGCCGCCGCCGCCGCCGCCGCCGCCGCAGGAGGGGCTCCAACAGCAAAGCGTGGGGGGGACGGGGACGGCAAGGCGCGAGGTGGAGGTCAAGGCGGCGGTAGGTAGCGGTGGAGAGCGGCGGCGACGGCGGCGACCGCGGAGAAGGGACCCTCTGACGGCGTGGGTGTGCGGCTGCTACAACGACGACGGCTACGCCGGTCATGTGTCGGACCTTCGGCAGTTCTTCCGGGGGATAGATTTTCACCACGTGAGTATTTTTTTTCACTAGACGGCGAGAGAGAGAGAGAGAGAGAGAGAGAGAGAGAGAGAGAGAGAGAGAGAGAGAGAGAGAGTGAGAGAGAGAGAGNGAGAGAGAGGGATTATTTGCGCGTCTGCATGGCGAGTCAGCTCTGAAAGGTTGCTTTGGTCGTTGGCTGCGGCCGCCGCCACCACCAGTGTCAGTCGTGTGTTCTTGGTCTTTGCTCTCGGTCACGCTGCTGTTGGTCTTGTTGGGCTCTGTTGTTAAAGGTCTTGTTGTTTTCTTCGTGTCGAGGCTGTTCTGGCCTCCACTCCTAGTGCAGTACCTCCAGAACCTTCTGTGCTACACCCTCGAGGTAAGTAGAGAAATCTTGCCTATTTCCACGGTCACAGGCCGGCTCAATAGTCTAGTTCGATTTGACAACAACAAAAAGAGTCGCTCACTGCCAGCGGCCGACGAATATCACAACCTTAATACTGTCCTCATGATACTTTTTTTTGCCTTTTCACGATGCAGCTGATGCTTAGGTATCACGTGCTGCCCGATGGCACCCTGGATCCCGATCGAAGGCGTTTCTGCGTTAGGTGAGTGCTGTTGCTGCAGCTGCAGTGTGTTGTTGTTGTTGTTGTTGTTGTTGTTGTTGTTGTTGTTGTTGTTGTTGTTGTTGTTGTTGTTGTCTTCACACTAAAGTCGTGTCAGTTGCTAATCCGAAAATCTAGCAGAAGCTCGAGTCCGTGGTCACAAGAAGGCTAGAGCCATCAGAAGATCTAAAGAACACGCCCCCTTGCTGTGTGTTCCATCATTTCTGCATCAACCTCGCTAACCGACTTACAGGTGAAATCGCGTTAGTCGCACTAGGCCAAAGGCGTTTCTAAAAGGCGCTGGCGCCTCTGTCTTTTTTTCGTAGCATCGACCGCGCTAACCGGCTGACCAATGAAAAGACGTCAGTCTCAGGGTGGTTGAAACCACAATACACTTTTAAGTGCCATTAACTGGGACCCCGCGAGGGGGCGGCATGAGGGAGGCTCAGCTACTCTCCGGATCAAAGACAGAAACGTATGTGTGTGTTCGACCTATCCTAATTCAGGCCTACACAAGTCTACACGCCTTTCGGTAAACGTGTTCGACGCGTCAGCCGGGTTATCCCAGGAGGAAGGCCACACAGCAGTTTTGTACGGAAATCGGTAACCGTGTACAGTACCTACACGATGCTTTCCCGCCTTGGCACGCTGGGTACTTGGCGAACAACGCACATGTGTGTGTGTCTTTCTTTTTGTTCTTTTTGCGTCGACCGCAGTAACCGGTTGACCAGTGCAAGATGTCAGTGTCAGTGAGGTTGAGAACACAAAATGCTTCTGAAGACCACAATCTGGGACCCTGTGACCGTGCGTGTGTGTGTGTATGTGTGGTTTCTTAATCGCCGCACCTTTTCATCATGCGTCCCTCGCAGTTTCTACGTACTCCCCACACGTGGCACAGGATGTGGAGTGGGTAACATGTTGCGGCCGAAAGCCTGTCAAGCTACACTCCCTCGCTTCTGAACGATGTACCGTGATTGATCGGTTTTTCAAAGAGCAAAGCAAGCAGCAACACCCCCCCTCCCCCGGTGCTTGCAATCGGGATTGGTTTTCGTCGCTTGGCAACGACGTTGTAAAACAGCCGACCCCCCCGGTGTTGCCATCGGGTTGGGTTTTCGTCGCTTGGCAGCGAGGTAGTAAAACGAGCCGATCACTTCGTGCGCTCGGCAACCAGGTTTCCGCCTTTTTTTTTTGCCTTTGTTTTTTTTTTGCCGTAAAAATGAATGGTGGTCAAGTAGATTATGTTGTGCGGGGCCGAGAACCGCCACGCGGCGCAAAGGGGATAATCGCACCACGTTTTGTCAAATTGGTCAAACACCCTCGGGGAATTTACTTACAGTACTTACAACTGTCTCTGGAAGTGAAAGCACCAGAAAATATATTAAGTTATACGCAGCTGCCATCCGTACGCAAGGAAGTAAGCACAAGACGCCGAACAACCCTTGGCAAGATGCAGCGCACCCTTCATGCGACTCGCCGAATACCTCACGGCGCTTCGCGCTTGGTGATGTCAGAGCCTGGCCCAGTGAGAACCCGGCGTGCTCCGTGCCGGCTTTGTGGGGATGCGAGGTTAATGGTCTAACGACTACGGCATGCA